GGAAGTCAAGGGGCGGGACAGGAAGTATAAAGGCCGGCCGCCAGAGCTCAGTCTGCGGCCAGCCACTGCAGGGAGCAGACGTGCGGCCGGGAGCTCCCGACCAGGAGACCGCCGAAGACCGAGGCCTGGACCCTAGCTGGCCTGAGCTACCCCGGGCACGCTACGAGGAGGAGCCGCCGGAGCCCGTCCGCTCCCGTCACTGGGAGAATCCCTGGGAACCCCACCCCACCAACCCTGAGGGTGAGACTGCACCCGAACCCCTCCTCCCCTGCTGCTACCCAGAGGAGCCGCCCGAGGACCGTTGGCCTGACTTCCCGGCAGAGCTACCGGACCTGCCACCGAGCCCTGGCCGAGAGGAGCCCATGCAGTTGGACTGGCCCGAGCCCGGCGCGGCGAACGAGGTAGGCTCTGAGGGGGATCGTGGAAGTAGCCCAGGGGTAGCCGACCCCGGTCCGGCTGCAACCGAGTGTGAGCCAGTGTCAGTGTGTTGCGGTCTGGATACCCCACTGACCAGCAGCGGCAGTAACCGCTGCTAGGGCCCCGGGCTGGAACGCAGTGGAGTGGGTGGGCCTGCGTTCCCCCCTGCCACCCTCGCTCATGGGTGGCAGGCTTCCCCCTCACCCAACGCTCGGCTACAGAAGCCTAGGCGTGCCTTACCTGAACTGCTTGCTCGCTCAGCCCCTGCAAACAAGGGCCTGAGCTTAGCTGTGTTTGCCCCGCCCTGATCCAGGGCCTGGGCCTCTGAACTATTTACTCGCTCAGCCCCTACCAACAAGGGCCTGAGCTTAACTGTGTTTGCCCCGTCCTGATCCAGGGCCTGGGCTCCTAAACTGCTTGCTCGCTCAGCCCCCTGCAAACAAGGGCCTGAGCTTAACTGTGTTTGCCCCGTCCTGATCCAGGGCCTGGGCTCTGAACTGTTCGCTCGCTCAGCCCCTGCAGTCAAGGGCCTGAGCTTTACTGTGTTTGCTCCGCCCCTGCCGTCAAGGGCCTGAGCTTTAACTGTGTTTGCTCCGCCCCTGCACTCAAGAGTCGGGGCTTCGGGACTAACTGACTGCTTGTTCCCACAGTAGTGAGTCGGTGTGGCTCCTCTCCTGCCCGGAAGGGTCGAGCCCCGGCTAGGACCTATTACACTGCCCAAAGCCAAAAATTGTCACCATATGCCCAACATTTACAAAAAGGCAGGTCAGATAATCTTGTGGCAATCTGTAAACCGACAGCTGGTGGCAGCAAATCAGAAAAGGTAACTGATCTTAAAAATGTATCTGAATGTGCAGGGCATGGGCAATCCACATTATGTATTTATCTCTCCAAGTGAGGTTGAAGATATGCCGTTTTATTCATACCTCCTTTATATCTGCCATGAATATAGTGAAGACAAGGTCATCAATGTAAATACAATGAATAAAGCTTGGCATATAACAAAGATCTCGGTATGATCAAATCTGTGATCTCATGCCAAGTGCTCATTAACTTGGTAAATGGAAATGAGGTAAATCTTCCCACTTTAATGCTCATCACAAATATTTGATTATTTCTTGAAAGACCTGGATGCCTAGAGCAGGGGGTGCGTGT